GAATACAGATAGACCAGTCCAGCTGCTTAAGATACCTCACCTTTAACATAACAAGGCTACATGTTAGAAGCAGCTCGTTAGGCCTACCTGTCCAGAAAGAAGTTTCAGTGAAACGTTACCCATTTCTCAGTAGCATCAGCTGAATGCAGCATCATAGAAGAGATGAACCAAGGTTGATACTATGGCGCATGAGTCTCTAGCTCACAATTAAAGAGCACTACTGCAATTACTGATGGATTACTTTACTCCAACTATAACACAGGTTAGAAATAAGCAATTAAGAGAAAAATGCAGCGTATTTCCAAAGTGTTAAAGGTTTTGATGACCTCCTTCGCCAACTTCCTTCTACAGCTCTGTTTCTGTATGAGTAATGTTAGGTGTGACATTCACTCATCTCCGTGAGGAGAGCACTCTTTATTCCAAGTTCAGAGGTGCCCACATCTTTCCGATCTGTTTGGCACATCACTCCTAGGTTAATTTTACTTATGAATCACATCGCATGGTTTGGCATATACAGCTATCCTGGAAGTGTCAAGAGGATTTGATGTTCTAAAAACAGTCTGTATGTCATAAGGTTTCCACGAAAACATTCTTTAACATAGACATACAAAGCTTAAGAAGTGCATTTTAGTGCTGCTTTGTTTAAGGAGACCAGATCTGAAACTAATCACAGATTTTCAGGGATTCTGAAGCCACGTAAGATTGATTAAGATTTTTTTCTTCCTGGCTGTTAAACGAAAACATTTATCTGTTTTAGTGCTCGAAGTCTAGAGAGCCAAACTTCTCTTACATGCAACTCCAGTCAAGTCAATGTATTAAGACCTAGGATGAATTCGGCACAGTGGATGACACTGCTTGTGCTTAACGCGAACCTGCCTTGTATGACGAAGCTATCATTGCAATTCATGGCAGGAAAGAAATGTCAGTGACAGAGGGTATTGCTACTTCAGCCACGCCACGTATCTCAATGTCAGAACTCCCCTTGGAACTGACATTTCATTGCTGTCACATACGACGTTTGATGGTACGAATAAAACAAAATGTTAATAAGCAGGGGGTAGAAGTGGCCATACCAAAGATTTACATAAAGGTTAATTTCAAAAGAGAGAATTGTTTTCCATGTATAGATGTTGCAAAGAGGTAAGATACCTGTTGTATGCTCTTTTTCTCGGCAAAATAGTTTGGCATTATGGTAAAAACAGTAACTGACGAACACACTGCATAGGAGAACTAAACACAGGTTTGAAACAGAAGTTTATTCCTGAAGTTTTTTAATCATTTCCGCTGCAAATTTTGGACTAGTCAAAGGAAAAAAAATAACTGCAAAGAAAAGAATTAATCCTTCTTAAATGTCTGTTTGAGTCTACTAAAGGAATATACTGTTCACATACTACTAAAATAACGTGAAGAAACAGCTTACATGGTACTTTTAAATTTGCTGATAGGAAATCAGAATTGTGCCTCATGAAGGCACGCCATACAGACTTACTTCTACACAAACACCGCAGGTTAACTGGAAAAGCTGATCACTAGCAACAGAAAGAGTTCTTGCATCTTACTGGTGATCACATGGCAGCATTTGGTGTAGTGTGCTTTGCTTTATGAGTGAGAAGCCAATTTGAGTGAACACAAAAACATAACATCACTGTACTATGTAAGTTATCTTAATGTTCTGAAAAGATGCTGCCAAAAATGAGATCCAATTCTAGAATGCAGGTATTCTCTTTAAATAGTTTCTCATACCTGCTAAAGCAAACATGCCAAACTGAGGCTACATTATAAGGCAGAGGCATGAAGTAGGTATATAAAAAGACATGAGTAAGTGCCGTGACTCCCCTCTCAAAGCACACAGTTGCCTACATGAATTACACACCTAAAAGGCACACTTGTACATTCATATACCCAATTTGTGCTTGTAGTCATGTAACTGTGCACGAACCTTAGGTCTTCTCCCCTGAAAATGTGACTGTTGTCAATTATTACCAATTGCAAATCTTGAGAACAACAGAAGAATAAACCATATGGTACACAGAATTAAAAAATATCCCCCTTTGGGATCGACATTTCCTCTATTTACTTTGGTAGAGTTGTTTTTTTATCCCAGGCACTAGGTGTTTGTGTTCTGGATACCAAGAAGCCCACTAGTAGCCACAGTGTCTTGAACTACATGTTTATAAGGACATCACTGAAGACAAAATCATATGTGATAGGCACTGCCAGTGAGCCAATCAAAAACTCCCACTATGTCTGATTATTTCTGGGGAAAATACTAGATTTGGGCAAGACATAATGGGAAAAGTCTAAAATAGATGTAGATGTTCCTTCTGGTTGAAGAGGTTTGTACTAGAGGATCTGAAGGTTCTTGACTGGACTATGATGAAATATGAACACTATAGCTTAGTCAGAAAAAGCTAGAAAGATCATTTTTCTAAAGGAAATGTATTTTCAATGGAAGTATAAACCAATTCTTTCGAAGTAAAGATGTCAAAAATAAAAAGCAGGATTTGCACACTAAATGTTAGTGAAGAACCATTCAATTTAATCTACTATAAAATAATGGTGATGGAATTGTGGCAATGAAATCCTTTAAAAGAGATGTAGTTTGTAAATAATCATTTTAAGACCAGTGATTTCATCTTTTAAAAATTGTTTTTAAGAGCTGCTTCACATCGGCTAAAAAAGATAAAAGAGAATAGTAGCTAAAAGATAAGGAGAATGGTTAGATACTCTAGAGAAGTATAGGAATATACACACATGTGTATGTGTGTACTCACTCTGTTCTTACACTGTTCTGTACGCACCTGCCTTTGGCCGCTGTCAGGACAGCACGCTGGCGTAAGTGAACTTGCAGTCTGAGCCAGACACCCAGTAAGTTCTTATTTATCTTTTCACACGTGCTTGCTCACCTGGCATCCGAGGGTACATGCTGATGCTATTACTCCCTCCTGACTGCCCAGTTCCTCCTTTTATGGTTATTGACATTTACCAAAAGTGATACATAGGAGAATTTGTGAGGTTCAGTTATCCTAGATCCACACGTCTGGTGTCCCCGTGCAAGGCCGTTCTCTTTAGACAAGAACTGGGGTAGCTGGGGCTGGGAACACATTTGAACCTGCCGTCCTTGCTTCAGAGCAAGAAACCTCCAGGAGAGAAGTCAGCGTTAGGATTTCAACATTTTAAAGCCCTACTGCGAGATCTGGAAGAGCTTGTCTACCAGAGCCCTAAGGCCCAAATGGAAGAGAAATCAGGAACTTTGGTTTAAGTTCTCTGCACAAAGCAGTGCTGGTTTTTCGTTGCTAAAACCCTGCAAGACAGATGTGAAGCAAAGCTGTACTTCAGCTGTGAAATGCCCAGGAAGAGAGCCGGGATGTCTTAAACCCTACTCGTGTCCTCTTTTAACATGATGGTATTTACTGTGTGGCTGTCCATCACAATCAAAAATGTTAAGCTCATGAAAGTAATTTCTTTCATTTTCAACTCGTGTTACAACAGAGGCTAATAAAAGCAGGTAAGCGAGCAGATGTAGGCATGAACCAAGACTTTTAGGTTCTAGCTTGCCCTTCTAAAAGGGGAAATTGCGTTCAGCGTTATGATTTACCCTGCAGCGTGGGAGCTTCCCTCAGTGCAGGCAGAGCTGCCCACTTTCCAAGCTGTACATTCAGGTCAGCTGGCTGTACAGCTACAGATGACACCGACGTGCGACTCGAAGTGGACCAGGGAATACCCTGTCTACTTTAAGAAAGTCGTGTCAGACGGCCAAGACTGGCGGTGCACAAATAGTGCATGGTTTACTTCTTAGCCATGTTCCAGATCTGTACTCCTTCATACCTCACGGTCAATTCGAGGCTCCTTTTTCAATTCTACATTATACTTCTACTAGGTTCTGGTTTTCCAGTAGTGTGAACTGTCTCAATAATTTAATTTTTTTCCAAGATATTAATTTGGGAGTTTCTTTATGCTCAATTTGTAGCAAAGAAGTTCTGCTTTCAAGAGTGAATACAACTGAATGTTTAAAGTAATATATTTATTAATGTTTTCTTAAACTATCTGAGATGGAAATATATTGAAGCAGCTTCTAGTATGAGCCAGGAAATATGAATTATTTCAATTTATTATTCAAAAATCTATTATTATCCTTTGCACAACTAATCTTATTTGCTGTAATATATAATAGTAAATACATTTGCCATTGCTCTGATAGCATTTGTAGGCACTCAAAAGCCAGCAGGTACTTTTACCAAGCTACCATTTAAAAATGGATGACACAATCATTCATTTTAAAACATCAGTTGAATAAAAAATGTTATCAATATGACAGCCCCCATCCACACATGCACAAAAGACTTAATCAACCCTACATAGTTAAGACAACAGCAGTAAACAGAAAATACAAATATCTTTGTGTAGCTTTATATCTATCTCTATTTATGCAAAAAAAGTTACAGTGAAGATGAATGCACCTTAGTTTGGCTTTTCAAATTTAGCTACAGTATTTAGAAACATTTTACTCTGGATCCCTATATGTGGTACTTCAGCCTTCTCTATAAAATCTAGACTGTCTTAGGGAATTTGAATCTGGTTCTGCAAACCCATTGGCTTTTTTCTCTCTGTGCTGCCTTTCCCATATTTACAAACAATAGCAACCAGGCCTGCTTTTCCCTCCAGAGCTGGATTGACAGTGTTGCAAATTCAGGGCTCTTCTACTCCACTACTGAAATCAGTACATCAAGAAAAATATGTGCTAGAGTCACTTACATGAACTAGTTTGCTGGTGTGCTTAAATACTGCAAAGAAAGGAGATCTGTTACTTACTGTAATTGAATATTACAAATATCATCAATATTTTACTCCTATGACTGTTGATTCAGCATTTGCCTGCAGTACCCTGTCAGGACCTTCAGGTTAAAACCCACCCATTTTATCAACAGAAAGGCTTTGAATATGGCCACTCTAACTGTCAAGTTGTTTGCATCGATAAACAATGGTTTTTTGCCTTGCAGGTGGTACTGTGAAGGGAAGGAGCTTGAAAACTCACCAGACATTCAAATTATCCAGACAGGTGATCAGCACTCACTGGTTATTGTTGAAGCTTTTGAGGAGGATACAGGACGTTACTCGTGCTTTGCTTCAAACATCTATGGAACAGACTCCACTTCTGCAGAGATTTATATAGAAGGTAATGTTAGAATTGTTGCAGAAATCGGTTGTCGAAAGCAGCCACGCAGGGTTAAGATACAATTGTGTATTTTGTACGTTAACTGTAAAATAGATTCCTCACAAAAAAAATACACAGCAGGAAGTCAACGCTTTTTGTCATTATTAACATATTTGCAATCTCTCTGTGTAGTCCCCATCGGACAAGTGACTGCCTTCACATATAATTTGTGTTGTTTCCCAGAGATTTTGTGTATCTCACTGCAGGACTGAAGTCTAGAAATATTCAGGTTCTGATGCTATTTCACATTTTTCATCCGTGGTACTCTGCAGAAATATAAGAACCTCAACTTGGTGGCTAATTCTTATAAATCCCTTTTCTCTACAGTCTGAAACATAGCATAGCTTCATCCTAATCCATTACTGGGACCTCGTAACCAAAATGATATTTTACTTGCACCACAGATGCAATTACTGTCACTGAAAACAGTGGTACCATTCATAAATTAGAGCAGCTACCCTCCTTAAAACGAGGTTAATTTTGCTCTACTGTTACTCCTCTTTGGCATCTCTAATCTGCCAGCGAAAGGACAAATCCTTTTTTAGTATCTGCCCTGCCCCTGACACTACTGGGACATGTCTGCGCTTGGCAGGGATTTACTAGTTCTCGAAACTGGGGCCAAGGCCTTCTTTTATCGAACTCTGTGGATGGTGGGTGGAAGCTGCAGCTGATGGAGAAGCTCATTGGCAGGAACTGTGGAGAAAACGCAGATTCTCAATGCAGTGAAGGCTGAATCAGAAGCGTAAAACGTCTCAGCAAGACAGCTGTTAGTAAACAGAGCTACTATCTTCTCCAAACTGTGCTACAAGGCACAAGTTTAAGAATAACAGCTATGATTCCAGGTGTCTCTCTTTTTCCCCTGCCTTTTTTCTTAAAAAATGGTAGAATCAGATGCCTGAGAAGAAAACCTCTTACTTGATTCACAATAGTAATTACAGGCTAAACCATCCCAGTGGCATCTTAAAGAGATCCTGAAGAAGAGCCAGGTAAGCTTCCACTCTTGGATGCTTTTTTTTTCTCATTTCAGTCACATCTCATCCTAAATCTGCCTTATGCCAACACCAGTTCTGCACCTTACACAGTATGCAACACTGGTTCACTTCCACCGCAATGTGAACTTTGCGTTTATCACAGCTATATCATGTATATCCGCAGAATGCTCTAGAGGAAAATCAAATGAAGGTTTGTGTCATTTACAGATAAACTTCTCCAAAAAGCCCTCTGCTAAGTGGCGTTTTTTGCTTTTTCATAGGAGTGTCTTCTTCTGACTCTGAAGGTGAAATCAAAGACGAAATGGATCAGTAAGTTTAAAATCAGCTACATCTTCTGTAGTTCTTATAGTTAAAAAAACCCAACAAGTGTAGATATTCCACTTTCCATTCTTATTTTGCAATTTCCAATACCTTAGCCTTTTGTTGGGGGATTGTTTGGGTTGGGTTTTGTTTGTGTGCTTACTTGTTTGTTTTACAAATAGTATGGAAGAAATATACATTTGCTTGTGCATCTTCAGCTTGAGAATTGTAACTTTAATATTAAATATAAACATAAGAAGAAATATGTTTCCTTAGAGATTAAACTGCTAAAACTAATTCACTAGAACAGTTGCCTTTTGACTAGACCCAACTTAAATGCTGATTTAAGCACCTGACTTGGAAAAACAGTGTAGTGAGATTTCTTACATGAAAATATGATATGTCATGAAGTTTTTTGGCACAAGATGGCTATACACAGATTATTTAGATATAATATAAGGAAATGAATACATACAAACTAGAGTAAACTGAAATGATGGGAATGAAAGATGACTTAATTATAAAAAGAAAGAAAAGGTATCAGATGTAATCTAAAACCTGGGAAATAATTTCATTTTTCCTAAATGAAATCCATTCTCTGTGCATTTAGAACCCAATCCAATGCTGCTAAAATCCAGTCTTTCAGAAACAGTCTTTCC